TTCTTTTGAGTCCTTTTATATATTACTTTTGGATAATATACGTTTTTGAGATTAAAAAGAGAGATTTTTTTTTCTCCTTTTAGTATTTCCCTTGAGTTTCTTTTGATCCGTTAAGAGCCGTCACTATTCCAGCATTAAAACGAATAAGTTGTCCTAAGTCCTAATTAACCCAACATCAAATATTTAGGTTGGTGACCAAATTTAATGATATGGTATGGTATTCATTAAAAAACAAATAATGTTATAGCTTCATTAGCACAAATAGATACTTCAGTTTTCAGTGTATCAATATCTTTCCATAATAAAAAAACATGCAACTCATATTTGCATAAATCACATAAAACACATATATTAGTCTATAAATCCAATAAAACACGATTAAAAATATATTATTATTTTTCTTATAATATTATTTATAAAATTAATGCAACATAATTATATTAGATATAGATCCCTCAAATTTCATCTAAAAACATAAAAATTTTAGACATAAAATTTAACGTCTAAAAATTTCGTGTGATTCACATGAGTGCACGGGTAGCCTCTGTGATCAGTGTTGTAAAACTCGTCCAACTGTCCGATTACTCCTCAGATTACTCACTACTCGGTCTCTTACCAAGGTGAGTTGCAGAATCTCGGGTACTCCCCGATCGGCTCCTTACTAAACTAAGTAATGTTGTAAAACCCGGTCAAGTCGGTGATTAATATGTATAATATATTTAATGATTTATTATTTAACACACACATATGATTATTACAAAATATATATATATATATATATATATATATATATATATATATATATATATATATATATATAATTTTCAACAATTATTCACGAATTGAGACCATTATGAGTTTTTCTATTTTTGTGAATTCATATGTATTTAATTTTGTTATATATTTCAATCAACTTTTGATTTTCACTTATGATTTCGATATATATAATTTTCCTAAAAATATTTCTACATGAATTACCGAATCCGAGTACTCCCGAGTACTCACTACTCGGTAGTCGGTCGAACAGGTACTGAGTAACAAGTTTTACAACCTTGTCTGTGATCTGTCATATTTCGTCTAAAAACATAAGATTTTTTTTTATATTGTCACTACAAGAATAATGGGCATTAGCGGCGACACATAACTTTCGCGTTATGTGTCGCCGCTAAAGGTGGTTGTCGCTGCTAAAAGCATCGCCGCTAATGCTTATCGACCCCGATCCGCATCGAAATATGAGGTGAAACCTTAGCCGTTGATTTTGTCCCTAATCCAAGGACTGAAAATCGATAACGTACAAACCAATAGCGGCGACGGTGTCGCCACTAATACTCGAAAATTTTGACCGCCAAAGTTTCCTCCTAAAGTTGTCACTGATAATACTCAAAAATTTTGACCATCAAAATTTTCACTCAAAGGTGTCGCCGCTAATACTCTATACCAGCTCCTCCTCCCTCTTCTATGAACTAATTTCTCTTTGTATTTAGAATGTGTATTTTATATATGTTTGTGAATTTATATGTATATTATGTATGTATTTGTGTGTGTGTGTATATATATATATATATATATATATATATATATATATATATATATATATATGTGTGTGTGTGTGTGTGTATATATATATATATATATATGTGTGTGTGTGTGTGTGTGTTTATGTGTATTATGTATGTATTTGTGTATGTATCGATGTGTTTTTGGTTATATGTTTTATAAAATTTTTATTTTTTTATAACAAATTTCATAATTTTATAACGTTTCTTTTGTATATGGAAGAATGTTTGAAAAATAAATTAAAAAAATGAGAAAACTACAATTAGCGGCGACATTTTTAGTAGCGACGGAAAGTATTAGTGCCGATGAGGTATTAGCGGCGATAGCTACCTTTAGCGACGACAAATGGGGTATTAGGAACCCTTTAACGGCGACGGGTCGCCGCTAAAGATATTAGCGGCGACAATTGGGACCTTTAGCGGCGACACCTGTCGCCACTAATGATCATTATTCTTGTAGTGTGTTTCTACCCTATATACATATTACAAAATAAAATCAAGCTTGATTACAATCACATTTAATCCTTTAGAGAAATGGTGTACAAGTTTTCGTAATATATAGTAGGCTCAAGTTCAATTCTTGCTTCTATTTTTTACTTTATTTTATTAACATCGCATATAATGTTTTGGTGTAAAATATATGTAAATTAGGTGTTAATAATTAATTATGTCTATGTCTCAGCAGTAAACACATGTACATGTGGAAAATGCATGACTTCGATCCATGCGTTGTCCTTATTTTTCTCATTTTTTTATGATGCTGCCACATCAGAATTACCTAGCCATGTGACATATCCTAATAGTGGCTACCAGATAAAATCAAAATTTTAGAATAAAATGTGACAATTAGTGTTAATTGAGTATTTTAAGCGGGACTTTTTTGTACTCTCTTTTTACTTTGATCATAGCTCCACTAAATGATATACCTAGAATACACTACTATACAAGTAATTTAGTAATGCGAACCATTCTTTATATTTGAGACGGTTGATGGTAAAAACCGTCTCATTAAATGTATAGAGCATTAAATAATACACAAACCGTTTTAAAAAAGCATCAGATAAATTTCTAGAAACTTTTGTTAAAACGGTTAACAATGAATAGCCTCAAAAAAAGATTTTTTAGTGCTACTTCATTTAAAAACATCATTAAATAAAGATTTTTTGATGCTCTTTTTATAAAAGAGCATCATTAAATCTTTATCTTTTGATGCTATATTTTGAAAAACGCATCAAATGAAAACGGTATGATTTTTTAATGCTACTTCATGTAAAAGCATCATTAAATAAGGATTTTTTTATGCTTTTTTTAATATAATAGCATCATTAAATCTTTATCTCTTTCCCTCTAAAATTTTCATTTTAGCTTTCTAAAAACCCTCCATAGCCACCACCAAATTCCACACAAATCGCATCAGTAAAACCTAAAACCGCCTCAAATCATCTCTTTCCCTCTAAATTTTCGTTTTAGCTTTCTAATACTTTCAGCGGATTTCCCCCCAATGGCGGTCGAAAACTTCTAATCTACCCCCAAACCTAAGTTCCTCTCGCCTTCAAAAAAAATTCTAATCTCCCTCCGACCTAGGTTTCCCTCCCACTGGAAAATTTTGTGATTGAAATCCAACCGACCCCTCATAAATCTATGGCTTCATCAACCATTCATATTCCTAAACGTTACTGGTTATCTCCATTTCACATCTGATGAAACCACTAAATCCTATGCTTCTTCTTCATAAATGAGAATTTACTCCTAAGAATTCATTGTCATCTCTTTTACTTCGACTAAACTTCTCCCTAGTGCAAAACCCTAAATATCTCCATCCTTGTAGCAGTAGATTTCAGGGTGCCCAGATTCAGTCTCAAAATGAACGCAATCAAGTATGTCCTACACCTTCTGCATCAACTTCTTCCAACTATAGTATTTTTTTCCCTAAAAAAGGCTATGGAAGTTACGTAATATTGATCACATTAACTATTTAATTAAAGAGCATTATTCAATTTGGTGATTTTTTTTTCGATTTCAACAAGTATAGTTGAAATAATCATGTTTTGTGTTGTTTTTCTTTTATTTAAATCGGAATTTCTATGACTTTTCAAGGAGGATCGACGGATATAAGAAAAGTGATTCAGCATGAAGATTATATTAGAGGATGCGGAGCATATTTACATTTAGGAAGCACAAGTAAAGAAGGAAATGATGATGGGAAGAGAGATGCTGGCAATGAAGAGAGAAGGTGTTCGATCAGGAAAATTAGTGCATATCTGAGCGTGGTTTACTGGAACATCTTGCAAGAAAGAAACATCAAGCGAAAGTGGCATATTTGACAACCGAAAACTCTATCAAATCCATGGAGTCTACTGAGAAATCATCTGAATGTGTTCCAAATGATTCAAAAAAAGATAAGAAACCACCACCACCATCATTACTAGTTATTGCAGGTTCAAGTGAGGTTTTAAAGAAGAAAATGGAGTGGATATGTCTTATTTGTAACGTGAGTTCATCAAGTGAGATTCATTTACAGAAGCATCTTGAGGGAAGAATACAAAGCCAAAGTAGCAATCATAAGAAAAAGAAATAACAAGTGAGATTGGCGTCTTTCTTATTTATATAAAGCGGTTCTACATTTTCTAATGTTGTTGACTAATAGCATCAACAAATGATTGATGATATTTTATGTTGTCATTCGTATTGTGTTTTAAAAGGCAGTTTATTTTCTAAGATTGTTCAATAACAGCATCAAAAAATAAGTTTATTTTATGAAACTATATTTTATAAGGCGGTTTTGGACAACATCAAAAAAATAAGATAAGTCTATTTTATGAAGCTATTTTTATGAGACGGTTTTGAACATTTTCTAAGACGGTTGTAGAACCACCTCAGAAAACAACACTATTTTATGATGCTATATTTTTTGAAGCGGTTGAACAACCGCATCAAGAAATAAAAATAAAAAAAATAAAAAAAATAATAAAAAAATAATAAAAAAAAAAACCGCTTTATTAAACCTCTTTTGTACTAGTCTATATTTTTTTGCTAAAAATGATGTAATAAGTTAGAGATATAATTTAAAGTTTAGAATATATCTTTTACACCACTTTAGTCAAATTGATTAGAGGTTTTTTTTTTATCAGAACTACATAATATTATTAAAACACTCAACTTCCTAACAAGATGCTAGAGAGGTCACACAAAACAGGAAAATAATTGAGAAAAATCAACTAAATCAAGACAACATAGTAAGGCAAGTTCAAGGCACATCATGAACCCAATATGTACGTCCAACCTATATTTGTGTGCCTTTACTTCTATTTGACACCAATAAAATCAAAGATACCCTTATAGGTTCAATAATTTTTCAAAAAGAAAACGTATTATTGTAACAATGTATTGATATAAAAGAAAATTACTTTACTAATACAATCAAAACAAATATTATACAAAATTCGAGAAATTTACGGATAAGCAAAGGCTCCAACAAGTACGGCTTAATATATATATGTACGTCTGCGTATACCACCACGGTGTGATTCATGCTGAAATGTCCACTTTTTATATAGTTATTTTGTCTTTTTCTTTACTTAACCCTTGCTTTCTTTATTCATTTCTCCAAGATCCCTTTAAACGTGGTTGTTTGGTGTCGTATTCGGCGGGGTTTGGGCAAGCGCAACCACCGATCTCTTCCCACGCTCCGCCCGGCTGTTCTCGGCGAACTTCATGCTTCCGATGTGCAAACCCTTTTCTCTCTCCTCCTCACTGTACTCCAAGCTATAGTAATACTCTTCATTGTACTTCTCGTTCTTTGACGCCGGAAAAAACATGCTCCCCCATTGTGGGAAATGGATAAAAGCCACAGGAATCGATAAAACCACTGTCATCACTCCCATCCATGTTAACCCCCATGCTGTGGAAAATCTTACACCGGAGAAAAATATTAGCTGTGTCAAACCACCACCAACGTTGCCACCAGCTCCGGTTAAACCAGATAGAATGCCGAGAGATCGTCGGGAAACAAAGGGAATGATGCCGTAAGTTGCTCCACAAGCTGCTTGTGATCCCATGGCCATAAGCATCATCGACAAGATGGCGATGGGTAGAGAGTTGGATAGACCTAACCATATACAGAAAATGCCTCCTAGGGTTTGTGTTATCCATAATGTCCATAATCTACCTCTCATCCCGAATTTTCGAGCCGATAGGTCAGAAGCATATCCACCAAACGGACGTGTAAAGAAGTTAGCAATCCCGAAACTGGCTGCGACAACTCCGGCTGTGTGAAGCTTTAAACTAAACCTATTCAACATTAGAACAATGTAGTCGTTTGTTAGCTAGTGATCATAAAGATTTTACTATGAATTTGTCATGAGAAAAGTAACTGAATATCATGATTAGTTAACTACCTATCATAGAAGTATTCAGAGATGACATTATTCAAGCACAACTGTATGCCCATAGAATATCCGTAGATCAAGAAAAAGATCCACGTCCTATAATTCGAGATTGCATTTCGGAATACCTGCAGTAATTATAGAAAATATAAGTCATTGTGTGAATCAGAAGAAATACGTGTCGTTAATATTGTTTGAAGGTATTCTGTAAAGTTTGACACGTATATTGCTTTAATAATTAGTTTTCTTGAATTATAGCGTATATTGATAATATTAAGATCAGTTGATATGATATTAAGATTGTTAAGTGTTAACAGATTATTTAGTCATGTCACCTTGGAGAATTTATCTTTTGCAACCCGACCCTCCTTATAAATTTGAGCAAAGTTACCATCAGGCAAGTCTTGGCCATAAGCCAATACAAGAGCTCCAGCAATCAAATGAAACCATCCAGGAATAAAGAAAGCGATCCTCCACGCCGTAAACGGCGTAGTTCCGAGCATCCCGGTGATCACATGGAAGAGCACCGGCATGAGGAGCTGAGTAAGCCCACCTCCGACATCACCCCACCCGGCAGAAACACCGTTCACCACCCCAATAATCTTCCCATTGAACATCACACTCGTCCAATACTGGCAAGAAACGAATGTCGCCAGTGAGAACCCAATCATGAACCTCACCGCTACGTAACCACCAGCATCTGAGACAAAGCAGACGCTGAAAACCACCGGAGCAGCAAGAATGTTGATCACCGAACAACCGTACCTGGGACCCACAAGGTCGCAGATCACTCCCATGGCGAGGCGTGAGAGGATGCTGCCGGAGACGGAGGCGATTCCAGCATTTGAAATGTCGGAGCGGGTGAGGTTGAGGTTGTCACGGATGATGGGAACAAGTGGGGCGGCGGCGAAGGTGGAGATAACGCAAGTGCAGAAGGAAAGCCATGAGAGATGGAAGGCTCGCATGTGGGGTTGTGCTACAGAGAAGATCTTCATCTTTGTGGCTTTGTTTTCTGAATCTACAGGCAAGGCGAAGGTCCGTTGAGTGGTGGTGGTGTTTTCATTGTCGATGGATATGACTTCTTGATGCTCCGGGATAGTTGCAGGGGAAGCCATTGTTGGTTTTCGAATTCCAAAAATATGGGGAATTCGAAACGTAAAGAAAAGGGATCTGTATATACGATAAGCTAAGAAACTGTAAGCTGTAGGTGTGCTTATTGGGAGGAGGTGTGAGAGAGTATTTATAGACATTCAGGAAGATTTGGAAAGTTGACTTTTAGAAAATAGACATAAGTTTTGTGAATTAAAAACGTTATTTTATATATTTAGTTATATAGTTAAATAAAAAAATGATCAATAGTTGTGTTGCTCTAATTAATTAGCTTTGTTTTTACTAATTTGTATAATTGGACGATAATAGTTGAGATCATTAATATTTCTTTAAACATTAACAAGACATCACAATATTTAGTAAAGGCTCAACAATATATTCTACATCTCGAACATCGAGTACTTGTATTCATAGGGTCAAATGCATTGATCTGATATGAGTTTAATGGATTAACATATATATATATATATATATATATATATATATATATATATATATATATATATATATATATATATATTCTACTCATTATATAAGTTTATCATTAAATTATATACTCTATTAAACTGATATAAAATCAATGAACTGACATATGTAAATTCTACTGATTATATGTGTGTGTGAGGAGAGAGAGTGCATAGTTTAACGGGGATTGAACTCTCCATTCTATTGAATGTCATGTCATTCACCCACAATGAGGATTTGAGTTTAATGGAATTCAACTCACCATTCAAGTCTCTATTCAACTCCCATTGGAGATGGCCTAATAACTACAAATTACAATAACGACATCGATAATCCATTAAACATCTATCTAACACCACCCCACAACTCATTAAATACATATTCAAGCATAATAACCACTTTATTACTTCTATTGAACCATTTAACTCATTCATTCAACTCTACTCTATGTCATCACACTGACACTCCATTCAACTCTTATTTGATCCTAGCCATCACCTCATTCAACTCTTATATTACTTGCATTGTGGATGCTCTAAGTAGTGTACATGAGTGTTATTTCAACCACCAAACTCTAATACACATATAAATAAGAGTCTTCCATAGTTATATCATCAATAAACTCTACCAACCTTCATGAAAGTGTCCTAGAATCCTAGCTACCTCAACATGTATGTCAACAATGGGTAATTAAGGTTGAAAACATAGTAACATCATACCCAACATATAACTAACAAGGTTGAACTAATATGATACCTAATATACACATGACTCAGCAAGGATAGTCCATTGATTTTAGGAGTAGATCATTGAATATAATATTATTATATAAAAGCAAAAAATTATTAATATTATAATAAATCGATAATTATTACAAAAACAATAAGGATCTACACAATGCATTAAATTCATAGAGTTCAACGTATTTCCACATCATTTTTCTATATTTCATAAAACTCTATCACTTTTTTCCTACAGTGCATTGAACTTTATAAATTAAATAGAAAATTACAAATGCTAACTTACTGTCTAGTACCCAGCTCCGCATGAAATTTTTGCCAAAATCAGGAAGTAAACTAAAGATCGCATTCAGATACAATAGCGAGCGGTACACCGTGACGAGTAACTATCTCACGTAAATACACGTCGACCAACTTCTCAGCCGAAGAACTCTCCCGAATAGCGAGAAAATGGGCACACTTTGTTAACTGATCCATGATAACCCAAATCGCATCAAATCACTTGGTTGCCCTTGGCTACTTGGTGATGATATCCATAATGATTTGTTCCCATTTCCACATAGGAACCTCCAAGGGCTACAACTTGTCATGCAGCCTCTAGTGCTCTACCATGACCATCGTACATGTCCTGAATCTCTCGACATACAATGCAATCTCCATATTCATGCATGGTCACAAGTAACTAAGTCTCAAGTCCCGATACATCTTTATGGTTGTAGGGTGAATTGAGAACCTGGACTTATGAGTCTCCTCCAATACTATTTGCCAAACCCCTCCAGAAATAGGGACTCATACATTGGTTCAAAAGTTCACGACTATCGATAGAAAACCTGTCAATCTCACCCCGGATCATCTCTTGCTTCTAATTTTCCTTCTTGAGTCCCTTATCCCGAGCCTCCATGATCAAATCCTAAAGTATGGAGTCGATGATCATCCTCAAACAATGTTCTCGAGAAGGATTACTAGCCGCCTTGCGGATTAAGACGTCAACAACCATATTGGCCTTCCCCGGATGATAGAGAATCTCGCAATCATAGTCATTGACTACGTCAAGCCATCTGCACTGCTTCATATTCAATTTGGCCGATCCATAAGATATCTCAAAATTTCGTGATCCATGTAGATGGTACATCGAATCCCATGGAGATAATGTCGCCAAATCTTGAGGGAAAATGTAAAGCCCGTATATTCGGGCTAGTTAATTTAGAGACGATAGGCGTCAAAAATGAATTCGTGATGAAAGACTATTTAGAATGAATAATCTCAACTAAGTTATAGTACATGTTACAAGGTTTCCGTGCATATAAAGAACGCTGAAATCCGAGTTATAACGAAGAAGTTATGACCTGTCGATGTTTCGCGATACAACCGTCACGACGCAGAATGACGTAAAAAGTGAATCTACGTCAGAGTGATATTTAGCCTTAGCAATCTAAATGAAAGTTGTAGAGTTCGTTAAACCATGAGCGTGCATAAAATGAACGTCTAAATCTGACTTCGTATGAGGAAGTTATGATTTTTCTAAGTTTCAACTAAGCGGTATGTAGCTCGAATACTCGATTTGAGATTGAACGGTTTTTAGCCGAAACAATCTAAACGAGAATCGAAGATCTCGTTAATTGTAGTGAAACAATGAAAAGATAGGCAAAAGTGGAAGTCGGATAAAGAAGTTATGATTTTATAACGGAGTTTTCCTGTCCCGGCCTACTAAAAATAAATAATAAAAATAAATCAAAATCAGCCAACGGAGTCTAAACGAAAGTTTTAGAGCGTAGTCTCACCTACGCAGGGATATAAAGAACGTCGAAAACGGAGTTCGTATGAGGAAGATATGAATTTTTGAAGTTTATTAAATATTTTCGATATTTAATTTAATTATAAATTAACCGATATTATCTATGGGGGGAGTCAGCGATCTGATCTACATTACACCCAGCGTAATGTAAATTTACGCCCAGCGTAAATGGTTTCCAGCCCCCTATAAAAGGGTGTCGAGGGCAACCGACTTCTTTGCTCATTTCTTCCCTTTCTCTCACATTTTTGCATCGTTTTTCGTGCAAGAATTATCCCGAAGCCCTGGTATCATTCCCGACCCCGAAGCAAGTCCCGAGGGCCCGAAGATCCTGAGAAGTGCGATTCCTGAGCCAAAGCTCTGCCCACGAGGAGCCCGGTTTTTGTAAAGATCTTTCAGATCTACCGAAGAATACTACTTCTATAAGTCGTATTGCTGTCCGATCATCTTCTAATCAAGTGAGTGTGTGATTACTTTCTTCTAACGCATAATTATGAAGTATTTTATATGAAATATGTGTTATGTGTATAATTTTGTTGTTATGTATGTGAATGTATATTCACTTTCTTTTATATCTAGATCTGATTTATTCTCTATGAAATACGTGTTATGTGGGTGTGCCTCATATGTTATGTAGAATAGGTATTGAATGAGAATGCTATACAGGTTTCAAACTATGTATAAAAATATATATTTTTTATCTACTAATATGTTGGGTAGAACATGGGTAGATAGTTGATGTGTGATAAACAGATGAGAGGCCCCGATGTTGTTGTTGTTAATCTAGTTATTCAACGGAGTATGGATTAGACCAAGAGGTTAGTTTTAGATCCGGGAGTATGGATCTGGTAAAGAGATAAAACTTGTTATTAGTCCGGGAGTATGGATTAAGACTAAGTTAATTGTCCCTAGTCCGGGAGTATGGATTGGGCACGCTTATTGATCCGGGAGTATGGATCAGATCAGGATTAGGGTATAGTTAATTGTCCTTATTCCAGGAGTATGGATTGGGTACAATTATTGATCCGGGAGTATGGATCAGATCAGGAGGTTAGTTTTAGATCCGTGAGTATGGATCAGGTAGTTTTAGGTCTGTGAGTATGGATCAGGTGAAAAAGGTTAGTTTTAGATCCGTGAGTATGGATCGGTGAAGAGGATAGTTTTAGATCCGTGAGTAGGGATCAGGTAAAGAGGAAGATTTTAGATACGAGAGTTTAGATCATATCGTTGTGAGGATCGATGGGATGTGATAAGAGTTGTCTTTATATGGTGAAAATGTACAAGTTTGAATGTTCTATATTTATAAATATATGATATAACATTGTGGGATGAAAACCCTATATGCTCACCAGGCTCCCAAGCCTGACCCACTCATTTTTCTTTGTATCATAGGTATCGATACGAAGACATATTTCACAGAGAGATTTAAAGGAGATATAAATCATTAGTGTAATTGAATGTAAGTTCTGTTTATGCTTATATGTCTATATCGGAACATGACATCACGAGGTTTTATTATTAAATTAAAATACATTCTCTTTGATAAATGTTTTGATAAGTTATTATCATATCTTGTGTAACGACCCAAAATTTAAGACCAAAATTTTCTTTTAATAAATCATTACTTAAGGTAAAGTCATCATTTCAAAACATAATATGAGTATAAGTTTTCAAAACACATGCTCGTTATCAGAGTAAACATTCCCAGGCTGCCTAGTCTATGGTGTGTGCCATGCGATCACCCCGAGCTCTTCCCTCCGCTACCGGAAGTACCTGAAACCAAAACTGAAAACTGTAAGCACGAAGCTTAGTGAGTTCCGCACCCTACCACATACCATGCATAACCACATACTGCACATACTGGGCCACGACCCCTATCTTGGGCCTCGCCCCCTACCTCGGGCCTCACCCGCTACAACGGCCCCGCCTGGCTTCGAGCCCTGCTCGGATACAGATCTGTTTTACTTAGGCCTCGCCTGTCACAGGGCCTCGCCCTCAACAAATAATAACATATAAACACTTCACAACACATAACTGACACATGCAACTAGTTCTGTCCTAAGGCCTCGCCTATCCTGGGCCTCGCCCATGTCCCGCTA